GCAAAAACAGGATGGGTTTCAATACTGACAAGTGCAAGGTGCTGCACTTGGGCAGTAGTAACCAGCAGCACACTTATAAGATGGGAAACTCCCTTCTTGAGAGCATGGAGGCAGAAAGGGATCTTGGAGTCATTATTAACTCCAAGATGAACATGGGCTGACAATGCGAGGTTACCGGTGCATCACAAGCAGGGCCAAGGAGGTGATCCTCCCCCTCTGTGCGACACTGGTCAGGCCACAGCTGGAGTACTGTGTCCAATTCTGTGCGCCCCCCCTTCAGAAGGGATGTGGACAACATGGAGAGGGTCCAGAGGAGGGCCACTCACATGATCCGGGGACAACAGGGCAGACCCTACAATGAGAGACTGCAGGACCTGAACCTGTTCAGCCTTCACAAGAGAAGGCTGAGGGGGGACCTGGTGACCGTCTATAAACTCACTAGGGGGGAGACCAGAAGGGTTTGGGAGAGACCTTGTTTCCCCTAGAACCCCCTGGCATAACAAGGAATAATGGCCACAAGTTGTTGGAGAGGAGGTTTAGATCAGACATCCGTAAGAACTACTTCATTGTCAGGGCGGCTAGGATCCGGAACAAACTTCCAAGGGAAGTGGTGCTGGCTCCTACCCTGGGGGTCTTTAAGAGGAGGCTGGATGCCTACCTGGCTGGAGTCATTTGAGCCCAGTTTTTCTCCTGCCCAGGCAGAGGATCGGACTTGAAGATCTACAAGGTCCCTTCCGACCCTACTTCTATGATTCTCTGTTTTTCTCAGAGAAAACGCGGATTTCTCTTTTTAGCAGATAAATCCATGGATTCTCCACTTTTGCAAAGAGCTCTTGGAGGGTGGCACAGCTCCAGCCTGCAGGAGCCAATTGCAAAAAGGGCGGGAAACCCCCAGGCCTGGCCGGAGGGGGAGGTAAGAGCATGGAGGTAAGTGGGGCCTGGGGCAGAGCTGGGGAAGATGGTTGGGGGCTGAGGAAGTGGAGGTGCTGCTGGCCACAGGCAGCACATCACAGCTGGGAGCAGGGCCAGGGGGTGCCCGCCATGTGCGGGCCACACACATGCCGCCCAGCCACCTTCCTGGGGAGGGGAAGAGGGAGGCTGGCATGTGGCCGGAGCACCGCTCCGTAGCCAACGCTGCAGCCAGGGCGAGAAATGGGGGCACAGGGGGAGCCTGGGCTTGCACGCGGTGCTGCTGTTTACCTGGAGGCCCATTATGGTGGTGATGCTTGCTGCCTCCAAAACCTCCCACTGCTGCCGTGGAGCCATGCTCGGAGCTTTGTGGCAGGCGGCAGCAGCGTGGGGTGGTGGGGCTGTGAACGGCTGCGTGCTGCCCGGCCACCACCACCCCAAGCTGTGCCGCTGCCACTGGCCGCACAGCTCCAAGCATGGCTCCATGGTGGCAGCAGGAGGTTATCTATGTAGCGGCCGTCACAGCTGGCATGGGCAGCCCCAAAGGCAAGCGGCAGCAGCTGCACATGCCAGCGGCGACTGCCACTGCCTCCACAACCTCCCACTGCCACCACGGAGCCGTCCTCGGAGCTGTACGGCCAGCAGCAGCTGGTGGTGGTGGTGGGGATGGTTGCATGCTGCCCAGCAGCACAGCTCCAGGCAGAGCTCTGCAGCAGCAGCAGGGAAGTTTTGGAGGCAGTGGCAGTCACCGCCATCACAGGCCTCCAAGTGGTAGCGGCTGCTGTGTGCAAGCCCAAGCCCCCGCTCCCATTCCTCTCCCCCTGTCCCCCCATCCCTTGCCCTGGCTGCAGCATCAGCCACAGAGCTGTGCTCCGGCCACATGCCAGCCTCCCTCTCCCCCAGGCAGGCGGCATGTGTGCGGCCTACATATGGCAGGCACCACCACACTGCCCCCCGTATCACTTGCCTACAAAGGCCCCCGCAGAGGGGCACCCATGCCCTCACACCTAGGCCCTGCACCCAGCAGCAATGGGCTGCCTGGGGCTGGCAGCACCCCCCACTCCCTCAGCCCCCAACCATGTTCCCCAGCCCTGCCCCACAGCCCCCAAGCCCCACTTACCTCTAGGATCCACAGGCAAAGGGCATGGCTCTGTGGTGGCAGCACTTGCCCACAAAGCCCCCCAACCCTGCATGCAGCTGCCACCACCCCGCACCGCCACGGAACCGTGCAGCTGGTTGTAGCTGCAAGCCCCCCACTTTACCCCCGGCTGGGTGGCACATATGTGGCCCGCACATGGTGGTTGCTACTGCTGCCACGCCACGCCCCACTTGCCCATGAGGCCATTCAGGCGGCCGTGGGATGGTAGCACAGGGTGCAGTGGTAGAGTTGCGGTGGCAGCCTCCATGTGTGAACCTCCCGTCAGGCTGGCCGGCATGTGTGTGGCCCACTGAGTGGCACCCCTGCCCTCACCCCCCGGCCCTGCTCCTGGGAGGGGGGCACATTCCCCCCTTCTTGATCTACCTGCCCAGCACCTTCCCCTTCCCCCCACACACACTTACCTGCTGGGACGGCTGTCAGTGTCTGTGTCTGCATGTCTGTGGGTCTGGCAGGCTGTTGTGAGGGGCATCAGGAGGGCTGTTGAGACTGTGGGGGGGAGCGTGGGACACCAGCAGCACTGGAAGGGGCTGTGGGGGGGGGGGGCTTTAATTTTTATCATGGATTTTGGTTTTTTAACCAGAGAATTTGCAATTTTTAATCAGAGAAAACCAGGATCCCTGGTTATGACTTATTTGGAGCCTTAGTCTGAGAGATTCCATCCGTCAGGATAAGTTTTCTAATGAATGAAGTTTGATTTGGATCCAATTAAATCCTACAAGTTTGTGCCTACATGTAAAGACTTCCTAAGATGAAATCTACTTACAAGTTCTTTTTTTTTCATGCATTCCAACAGCGTCTGAAAGAGATGAACTGCCTCACTCTGACCGAAGTTAAATGTCTTTTTGATAGTTGAAATAATTTCAGGTTCTGCTCCTTCAGGAATGTTCCTGAGATTATAAAAACATCCAAAAATCTATATGGTTATGTATGAATTGCAAGAGTACCAATACACTGAATTCAAGTAGCCTTGAGGATGCATATGTCCAAAGTTCTGGACACAGACAATCTTTACTAATAAAACAACTGTCCAAAGCTAAAGCAATTCCTCTTCCTCCAAACTAAAATTTTCCCTTGATGTTTCTTAAAAGCAGCTCAGCCTCTCCCCACTCACAATGGGACCATCTTGAAATATGAATGCTACCACATGGGCACCCTGTCTATTTCCTATAACTGAAAGCTACTGATGATCTGGGAGCACAACATAGATCCATTTCCTGTCAGAAACACCATTTCAAATAGGCAGCGACATTTTGCACGGTCATAAGCCTGTAGGCTTAAGGTTTAGCTTAGTCTCAATAAAATTTATAGATTCTATTTTTCCATCTCTTCAAATTAGCTCTCAGTATACATAAAGCTAGTTCATGGAAACATCTGACAGTTATTACACATTCAAATGATGCTTTCCAGGAAACTAGGCAACATGACAGGGCTACCTAGGTCTTGCATCTGGGAGATCTGGATCAGTTCTTACTGTAATCAAAAAAGATCAAGAGGATCTCATCCTATTCTCCTTCTGCAACCATAATTAAAACCCCACAGTTTACAATTTTGGCTCGTGAGACACCCACAATGAAAACAGTAGGGAGAATGGCAGCTCCAGGCCAAAGTTTATAGCTGTGTGGAAAACTGTTTAATATGAATAGCTGAAACAAGTTCTTAGCCCCTGCTTTTCACAAAGATGAGTCTCCTGCACACATCTGGGCTCTTAAAAGGACTCTAGCTAGCACTGTTAGTCAAATTTAAAAAAAAACAACAACAACCAGAAAATGGACTTACCCTCCTTCTTCTGTTTGTTTATGAACATGCGCCAGAATGTCTGCAGCTCTACCCGTTCCCTCACATACTACAACAGGCACAGGAGGATTTTCTTGAAGGTATTCCAAAACAGTGAGAACAACATTTGGACCACCTTCAAATACAAGTGCTACCACAGGGACACCCTGTCCAATTCCTATACAAATTGGAACAAGAAACATAAAAAAAAGTCTTGAAGTCAGAATTATTCTTTCTTTTACATAACCCACAACATTAGATCAAATCATTTAAATGTTTAATCAGGCTTTCCCAAATATACTTTATAGCAGTAAGTAACACCAAAAACTTATTATTACTTGCACATAATTACTATGCCATAGGAACTGAGGTCTTTTTTATACTTGAATACAAATATGCAACTTAAACACACTATTTTAAGTAACCATATTAATGCTCACAGTATGTTATATCAGTTGCTAAATCAATAAGAGGTGAACCTTAACCTTTCACTGCATCACAAAAGAACACTCTCATGATAAGTAATAAAGCAAAGTCTCTTCCTCAACTAAAATTTTTCCTGGCTTCTTCCTGTAAGCAGTTCTGCCTCCCAACCACTCACACTGAGGCTATCTTCAAAAAAATAAATGCTACCCCACGGATACCTGGTCCACTTCTATAACAAAGTTGCTGATGATCAGGAAGACATAAAAATATATACTTTATAATTTTAAAAAATTAACTTGTTACAAGTAGTAATATTGGTACTGATTAAGTGCACAACAAATACTTCACGGGAAAAAATGCCAAACATAAGCACAAACTCATTTTAAAGAGCTTTAAGCATATTCTAGTAGCAATGGTTCCAAATATTCCACTCGCATTACGGGGCCACTGGCATATTTTGAAATCGGGAATTTTCCCAGAAAAGGCCAGTTTGTAAGTCCAGTACATAATACTATATACCAGGGATGTCAAACATATGGCCCAGGACCTGGATTTGGTCTGTGGAGCCTCTTTACCCAGATCACCACCCTCTGGCCAGCACTGCAACTTGGGCCTACTAGCCATGCTGGGCATTGCCATCAGCAGCAAGCTTGGCTTGCCTCCACCCCTGCATGGTTCCTGCCCCTGTGATGGCCACTGTGGAAGCACTCACACCCTCCTTGGATCTGGCCCACAAGTAGCCCCATGGTCTGGATTTGGCCTAGGGTCCCAGGTAAGTAAAGATGGAGGGACACAACAGCAAGCGGCACAACTCTGCACCACCACGCCGGCTGCTGCTGGATGGGCAGGGGGCACCTTGCCACGGCAGTGGCACCGGGCTTCCCTGCCGCGTTCTGCCCTACTGCACCAGGTCTCACCCGCTGGGCCCCAAAGACCCCAGGGGGGGAAGGCAGTAGGGTGGGGAGCCCCAAGCCCACAGCAGGCAGCCTGCCCTCACCTCTCCCTCCCTCCCCCAAGGAGGGAGTGCAATGGAGAGGAGCCAGCCCCACACACAAGCCACTCATGGCCCTGTCCTGCTCATGCACATGGTTCCCCCCTGCCTGACTGCCCTCCCCCTGCTCCCCGCAGCCCCTTGCAGGCTGGAACTCTGCTAGCCAGCAAAGTGAAACCCCCATTTTTCTCCTTAAAAAAGAAAACGTAGCAAACGGAAAACCCAGATCCCTGATAATTACAAAGCAAAATGATTGTGGGGGCAGGGCAGGGCAGGTGAAGGGAAAAAGTGATTAGCTCCTGCAACAAATCAATTGGGGATATTTCACTAATTTAAAAAAATAAAATAAAATCAGGAATTAATGATGGATTTTTTTTTGTATTGTAGTACAGGTTTCCCTTGCTTTATGCTGTACATGTGTTCCTGGAAAATGGCGCATAACTCAAATTTGCATAAAGGAAACCCACTTTACAATGTAACAAATATGGGAACTCTCCAAGACCTCGACTGTATTTACCCCCAGACCCATTTCTACCACTTTTACAAGACAATTTTGGTCCTCACCAACAGCAGACAGTCCACACAAGCACAGGGCACTGTCATAATGGGGATAGTAACTACAGAAACGCGTGTTGCAGACAATGAGCGAGGAGCACAGATCCACACAAGAGACTATATTTTGGTGCACGTCACTCCCACAATGCATCTCACAAAGCAGCTAACTGTGAGCTTCCACCACACTGATTGCGTAACAGTGAATTTATCTCACATATAACAAATTTTTGGTATAAAAAAAGAGTCATTGCATGAGAGAGAATTCACACATACAGAACCTGCATAAAGCGAGGGAAACCTGTATTCTAAAGCAGCAAGCTATGATTTAAAAATAGCTTATATCAGAGATCCCCAAAGACAATTAATCTGCTTTTTAAAGTTGGTAGGATACCTCCAAAGTATTTAAAAAAAAAACTTCATAGAAGTTTGCAGTCAGGGGCTCCCCTAAAAATAAAATGTAGATTGTCCAAGCTGGAAAACCCACAAAAAGCCAGAGTTCAAGAAATTAATATTAAGTATGGCCACATGGTACACACATCTTTACCAGCTACATATACCTCTCCTAATTTAAAGAAAAGTCAGACAGTGAACTGGAAGCACAGTAATGAATTTTAGCACTGCATTTTTAAACAAAATCGTATGAACTTAGTTTTACATTTGTACTAGACTCAACATGTTCCGTTTGTTGGAAAAAGGTTAAAATGCTGATTAGCAGACATATTAAGTACAGTTAATTCATAGAAAATCTCTAGAATAGCTTACACCTACAGACAGCATACTCTTACTGCTGCGTGAGAAACCATACTAATAACAGAATACAAGAGTTGTAACATATTATTTAGACAAAGATTATGAGAGCCTTTTATAAATTAGGTAAGCCAGTTATTCCTAAACGTTGCAGGTTTATGACCCCACCGTAGTCAAGCTGCACATTCTCGTACCCCCTACTTCAGCTACCATCCCTGCCAATCCTCCCTCACTGGAGGGTAATCAGTAGGAATCAGCGGCAGTGGAAGTGGATCGCTAACTGCTGCCGTGATCTGCAGGTGTCCCTGTCCCTCCTCCCCTGGCCCCCAGTAAGTAACCTTTTGCATGCCCCACAATTTGGGAAATACTGAAGTAAGTCTTCCCTTGGAGAACTCTAACTGCTACACAAAAAAAATCTTTTCTTTCTTTCTAATGCTGTGCAATAAACTGTTTCCAGAGAAAAAGCAAACAAAATACATAATTTCACAGGCGCTTGTCACACTTCATGCAACTGGGAAGATTATAAACAGGGATCCGGGTTTTCTGTTTATGGCCAAAAAACACAGATTTAGTCCTTTAAAAGCTGGCAAGTTCCAACATGCAAGGGGCTGCTTGGGGCTGGGGGGGGGG